TGCTACATTTTCTATGGTGATAGGCAATACAAGTGCCATGAGACATCACTGCCTGTGAAGAATCTGATCATTGATTCTTGGATAGCACAAAACCCAATATAAATATCAAGAAGAGAAAGCAGAATACAGTGGTCTTCACTACCACAACCCCTGAATGAAAGTGAATTGCTGGAAAGCTGAAACCCAGAAACACCTTGTCAGCCCCCAGGATCCCAGGCTGTACTCTGTTCCCCATCATGAAGAGCTGGAGGAAACAATAGGTTTTTCAGCCTTGTGTAGCTGAGAGATCTGTGTGAGCTGTGCCTTACCAGCAAATCCCTCCTGAGAAAGCCCCTGGGAAGCTCCTGCTGCTGCTGGAAAGACGGCAGAGGAAAGCGGACAGGAAGAAGGTTAGTGGAGTTCAAGGTAGACAGTGTGCTTGGCAGGGCATCTGGCTTTAATCACATCCCCAGCTGGAGCTTAATAGCCAAGTTTGGGTCTACCAGCTGAGCCTGGCACAGTAAGTGGAGGAAATTCTGCTGTTTCTGTCTGTGTGGTCTCTCCCAAGAGGGTTTTGTCTTAGGTTGGAAGGGTGAACATCTGAAAATGAGGTGTGAGACTCTGGCTGAAGGGAGACAGGACATCATTATGGAAGTATTCTGTGCAGAAGATGAGCATGGCCAGAAATGCCCTGCTTACTTTAGGACAGCCTCCACTGTGAGCAGACACATCAGCTTGTGGGCAGCCCCCAGGAATCTGCATTCACAGAACGTGAAGAAAATGCAGTGATCGGAATAGGAGTTAATTATTTTCCAGTCTTGCAGAGGAGACACCAAGAAGACATAAATGACCTCTGTGATGAAAGAAGAGACTAAATAGGAAAATCTTTATCCAGAAAAGTTCAGCAATCTGCACTTAGGTTTCATTTTGTACAGTACAGTATTATGTAGCCAATGCTGGGGTTCTTTGCTGTTTAAAATTTTGATGAGGCTGATATTTGTCATGGTCATGCTGCATGCAGTATAGAGAATGAGGTAAGTTAATGATATCACTGAGATATCACAATGGCTCCCAAAGCAAGAGAGATTTCCTCCTCAATGGTATTGTGATTCTTCATTGTTTGTTGGATTGATTATTTTAAATGAACATCACACACTGTGGAAAGAAAAATTTCTTCATCAATATTAAAACCTGAAATTAAATGAGAATATAGTATTTTCCTAACTGGAATTTTAAATTTTATCTTTTTTTCTTTTTCTTTTTTTTTTTTTTGTTACTTTCTCTATCAGGCCCATTATTGTCATCAGAAATTATTCAGGTGTCATGTTACTGAAATAAAACGACTAAAGTCTGACAACTTTTTTCTTCTGTAGAATATCTGAGATTGAGAGGAGGAGATACTCCTGTTTATATTTGGTTTTGGTTAAATCACTTTGGAAAAAATAGGACATTAGTCCCATCTCATGAGTGGTTTTAACCATCTAAGCAGGCCCCACTTAGACTCTGATGTGCATCAAGGACCTGTGCTGCTCTCTGATTTGGCTGCTCTGGCAATGGACTTAATCTCCTGTTCCCAAGGACTAGAGCCTCCAATGCTTTTCTCTGTATGTGCTGGGGCAACCTCCAATGTCTCAGTGCAGGGAATAGATGCTGGGAGCTTACAACCAAACTAGTTCCATGAGAAAATGTGGAGGACATGTAGAGCAAATTGCAGTTGTCATGATGAGACTTAAGGAGTGGGGGAGATATTTCAGAGGCAAACTTGGACAAGTATAACTTGACAGGCTCCCCAGGGAAGTGGTTACAGCACCAAGCCTGACAAGTTCAAGGAGCTTTTGGACAGTGCTCTCAGACACATGGTGTGACTCTTGAGCATGTCCTGTGCAGGGGCAGGGGCAGGAGTTGGACTTGATGAACCTTGAGGATGCCTTCCAACTCAGCTTATCCTCTGATTGTGTGATTCTGGGATAAATGCCTTAGATATGCCTAGCTGATCAAAAGCAGCTGAGAAGGTGTTTGCTAAACAATGGCAAATGTTTTATTTGGGGATCCAAATAGGAACAAATCCCCTTTTTTATGAAAGGGAGTATTATAAAGACGTACTCTGTTTTTGTCAGTGTTTGTTTAAAAGCTTTAGTCAGCTATATAATTTTTGCCAAAATAAGTAATAGATACAAATTCTCTAACATCTGAGTTCTTTCAGCTTAAGGAGTTTTATTTCATCTTTCAATAGGATTTTTTGGCAAAATGTGCTTCCACCTATATTCAGTAGCAAAGACTTTCTGCTTTCCAGGTCAGTAACTCACATAAGATGGTCCAAATGAGATAATGAATTTTTTATCTATGCCTTTTTATTTTCTAGGTGCATATGTTCCCTTTCCTAAAACATGTTCCTTCTGAGTAATTTGTGCCAGCTCATCTTCTGGTCAAAATGAATATAGCAAAAATGATTTCAAGATTTTCTAAAAAAAAAATTAAAACTTCCTTTTAGGTTGCAGGAAAAGGTATGTTTTATAATTTAAAAAATGCACTGGGAAACTTCATTTATACAAACACGGGCTTAAATCAACTATTATTTTAGCTCAGCACTCAGTTGTGCCTTGTTTTCCATGAGGTGCAGGTTCACTAGTGTCCCAGTGTTGATGAGAGCACCGGGGCAGGAATCTTAGAGGCCATGTCTGGTGTTTGCTGCTTAGGTCACCTTCCTGAGCATTCCCAGGCTGCCACTGCTGTGTGTGCGGATGATGCTGTGGCCAGTTTGTCAGCCCTGTCACGTCCCCTTTCCAGCATGGCAGGCATGACACATGGCAAGAATTTTGTGGGTGATATTCTCCTAGAGACTGATGTCAGAAGGAGACCTGGCACAATGGGTGGTTTATTTGAGTCAATACTGGGATCTCCTAAACCTGAAGGAAAGAGGTGCAACATTTTTAGAGGGACCACTGGAGTCCTGCCCTTTGGCCATCCGAGCAGGATAGAGGCAACTCAGGTGACAGTGCTAAGACCAGCTCTTTTTCTCAAGCTTGTACTAACATCCTTTCCCAGAATGAACCCTTTTGCTTGAACACACAGCACTTGTAGTCTATGCATGGGTCTCAGACTGCATAAAGAAATGGATTGTGTCTACCTGTAAGCCCACCAGGATGCTATCAGGTCAGAATGGATGGTCTCTGTTGGGCAGCAAAGCTGACACTCTTCAGTGCTTCCCCATGGAGAAGAGCAATAAGCTGGCCATTCCCTCCTACACGTGCCTGGGGAGCAGGGCAGAGGAGCAGATGGAATATCTGCAATACCCAGGACAGCCCTCCTTCTGCAGAAGGGAGTCAAGATGGCTAGTTCTTGGAAGGAAAATGGGAATGGAGACCCTCAAGGGTGTCTGCAGGGCAGTGTGCCTGGCATGGGGTCAGCACACTCAGCAGCTTGTGGGTGCAGTGGGATTACCAGCTACTGAGCTGGCAATTCCCATGTCTTTGCCAAGCAGCCATCTGGGCAAGCTAGGCATCTTGCTGCCTGAGTTCATTGGCTCCTAAGCTGTTCCAACAGACGGATTTACCCTTAGCAGATGGATGAGGAAATATCTAAGATGTTGTCTGCCTTTCTGGAGGGTTATCTCCCAATGAAATCCCCTGGCAATGGTGGATCTGGATAATAAGAAAGCTGCTGGATGTGGAGGCTGAGAGGAGATCCTGGCAGTGATTTTTTTTCTTTGCTTTTGCCTTTGTGGGGTGGGCTGTCCCAGCCACAAATGTACATGTTGTGATGACAGAGACTTGACGAATCGTGTGGTGAGCCCCAGGGGACTGGTGCTAATTTTGTCATGCTGTGAATTCTGGAAACACCTTGGGGCTGGGACACTGTGCTATCACTTTTTGGTCCTCATTGCCTTTAAAGGCCATATCACCACACAGGCTGTCCTTCTCAGGGTTATCTGCCTCAGACTGCTCTCATATGGGTGTCCTTGAAGGCTGACAGACTCAGAGGGGTTCCAGGAGGCCCGTGTGGGAGAGATCTGCCTAAAAGGGTGTACCCCTAGGACAGGCTGTATCTTGTTTCTTTTGGCCAGCAGAGCTAAGTGAACTTGCTGTGAGCATATGTGCCCAGCTGTATAGACATCACCTCAGTGTTTAAATTTGCATCTAATCTGGCTTTGGTGAATAAGTGTGACTCCAACCCAGGACTCCATGCCTTGAGCCCTGGCTCCGGTATACAGGACACTTCACCAGTAGCCCGATTGCAAGGGCTGACACTCAATACTCATTTGCTTCCTGGTCTCTGAGGCAGGTGGTCCCCATAGTGTTGGGAAGTGTGGAATGACTGCCTAGACTCATACCTTGCCAGCAGTCTCTGTGCAAGGCCCCTATGGCTGCTTTCACTTAGCAACATGAAAAGGTATTTGCAGCAGCCAGAATTAGGTGTTTTTGTGGTTTAAAACATGTAGCTGTTCTCTGGGTGAGTTTTCTAGGTGTGCTTAGGTGTGTTATGCCCTTATTGCCTATGGACTGCAGGAGTGCAACTCACTGTGTTCAACCTCTGCATGGGCAGCATATTCACATCTCCAAGGGCAAATGGGTAGTTTGTGTGGGAAGCAGGCAGCCTCTGAGAGATTGGGGAATGAACTAGGAGGTATGGCATTCAGAATAGCTGGGAGCTGGCCCCTAATCCTTTGGCTACAGAGCCCTTTTGTTTTTCCCTCACTTGATTTCATCTGCAAATATGTTAGGCAGAATGTTCAGATGTAGGCATGTCCTTCCTGGCACAGCCCTGTTGATGGGAAGTCTCACTCCAAGAGATGTCTTTGTCTCCTTGAAAGGGTGCATAAACATAGGTGTCCTGGGGATGGTGGCAAAAGAATGGACAGTTCCTGGTGTGATGCAGCATTTCCCATCTTTTTGGCAAAGAGGTGAGAAGCTGAAGGTTTGCTGTGATTGACAGGAGATTGCTGTGTCTGAGGATGGTTTTCATAGAATATTCTGAGTTGGAAGGGGACCCACAGGGATCCTCGAGTCCAACTCTTAAGTGAATGACACATTTGGGGATCAAATCCATAACCTGGGTGATATTAGCATCCTGCTCTCACCAACTGAGCTAAAGCAGCAGCTCAGAACACCTGCCCAATGGGACAGTGATCAAGGGAACAAGGAGAAAGGGACAACTAAATAAGCTGATGGAGGAAGAGGAGACGTTTGACAAGGAAATTGAACTAGGATATTTCTGGGATATTCCTGTTCAGATGAAGTGGGACAAAAAATGGGAGTGCTTGCAGCAACCAATGAAGATCTGAAGGATGGAAATAGCATGTGAATGATTTGAAAATTTGCAAAAGTAGTTAAGACTAGTACTGAGGAGTAGGCAGGCCTTCACAGGACTGAAGAGCTTTGGGCTTTAGAGGTTCCCTAGAAAGACCAGGTAAAATACTTCCAGGCACAATAAAACCATTTATTTGTGAAGGAACTGTTGGCTAGATGAGAAGTGCAGTTGTGACACCTCTGGCTTACCAAGATGAACTGATGAAGTGATCAGCATCCTGGCTGCCATGGACAAGAACGTTTTTTAGCAAAATATGATCAAGTTGGCTCTGGCCAATTTGGAGCTTGTCAGCCAATGTGAAGAAAGAATACAAGAGCCAAAATATCAGCTACACACTGAAAGAGTCAAAGACTAAAGAAGAAACATGTTCCGTGGACATGGAATTTAGCCAGCTAAAGGACTTGGGCAAGACATGAAACTTTTATATATTTCCTATTCTATTTATAACCTTGCGTGCTGCAGAGAGAAGAATTCATATAGTTACAGCTCATAACTCCTTAACAGGTTTTCTTAATGATGGTGCTAGAGCTCAAATAAATGTGTAGGAGGACATTGAATTTTTGAGCAATTAATGTGACTTGTAGAAGGAGCCTGCAGGAGAGCATGGCTCTGCAGAGGTGACCTCAGGTCTCCAAAGAGAGGCAGAAATTTCCAGAACCAAAATGGATTTTTGAGCTCACCATTCCAGAGAGTGGCTGTCTGGGGGGGATCTCCCAGCAGGCTGAGAAAAGTCTCAGGGACTCAAGGTGAACCCTGGATCACTGTGATTGCAAAAAGGTCAGCAAGAACTTTTTTGTACTTTCTGAAACAACACCTCCCTTATGCAAGAAATTAATGAATTCAAGGTCTCCATTCTAGGAGGAAAACTTGAAAAATGTTTTTAATTTCCAACAAACCAGAGATCTCATTCTTTATGCTACAAGACTGCTCATAAGGTACAAAGCAAGCTCTTGTTTTGTCTTTTAAAGGTAAAGGCCACCACAGAACTAGGATTTTTCCAGACATGGATGGTTTTACTTGGTGTGCCATAGTTACTATGGCAGTCCTTTACTTTCAGCATGGGCATCACAGCTGTCCATCGTTCACCTGTCACTGCTGAGGTGAACTATTGAACTACTATTCCTACATAGGCATAGTCACCCTTGCATTGATAATTTTTGAAAGCATTTTTTTTCTGAAATTATGGAAAATAAATATAATGATGAGAGAGAGCTGTGGTAGTTCTGGGACAAAGTCCCTACACCTGTTTTTCAGCTTGAGAGAACTGATGAAGGAGACATCCCACATCCAAATGTCTGTTATCAACTAGCCCCCTTCACCTGACTTTTTCTAGCAGATAGCAGCATTGCAAGGATAGGGATCTTGATTCAGCAAGCAGCTGAGCATCTTGGGGACTCAGTCCATCACAGTCATGCACCAGAACGATCTAATTAACATAAAATCATGGCTATAGAAGGCAGCTGCTAGGAAGGGTAAAAGGGAAAGGATATGTTGCAGGATAAGGTTGTTACGTGTGTTTGTCTGGGACTTCCACCTCCTGGAGGAAAAGAAGATTGAGAAACTGGGATTAGGTATGCAAATGTGCACAGATAATGTGAGAAGAGGGTTGCCTTATTATAAGTATGGTGCTTAAATCAATTTCTAAGAGAGAAAAGGACTGATTAGCCTGATGTGGAGAGCAGTTGTGTGGCCTAAAAGGTGAGGACTTTGTGGCTCCCTGTTGTGGGACAGAAGGATACTCCCAGATTTGGTCATAGATTTAAGTGTCTGAGGAGTTATGAGAGTTCAGCTATTATTGTCCTGTGCTGTAGGAGGTGCTTGGAGAAAAGCTAAAGAGATTAATTACTAAGGGTGTTGCTGGTGAGTAGAGTATTAAGAAGTGTTAGGGATGACATGCTATGAACCTCTGACCTGTTCATCTGTCCAGTGCTTGTAAGAGGTGGTAGAATCAAAAGGCAAAGAAGTGTCTGTCCTGCTCAGATCAGTGATATAAAAGAATCAATATGGGCTTTCTCTCTTGTGATGCAAGTGAAATAGCACTTTGGAGGGAAAAAAGTGAACAATCACCACAGTTGTTAATTAGGAAAGTTGGAAGGGACCTTAAAGGTCACCTAGTTCCAACCCCGCTTCCAAGGGCAGGGGTACCTTCCACTAGACCAGGTTACTCAGAGCCCTGTTCAACCTGGCCATAAACATTTCCAGGAATGGGGCATTCACAGCTTCTCTGGGAAACTTGTGCCCATGCCTCCCTGCTCTCACAGTAAAGAAATTCTTCTTAATATCCCACCTAGACATACTCGGTTTTGGTTTAAAGCCATCCCCTGTTGTCCTATCTGCACAACTTGTAAAGTGTACCTTATAGAGCCCCTTTAGGCACTGGAGGGTATATAGGGTCTCCCTGTAGTCTCTTCTTCAGGCTGAACAGCCTCAGCTCTCTCATTCCGTCTTCATAGCAGTGTTCCAGTCCTCTGATAATTTTGTGATCCTTCTCTGGACACACTCCAGCAAGTTTATGACCTTCTTATGTTGGGGTTCACTGTTCTGGATGGGGTCTCACCATAGCAGAGAGGGAGAACCTATCTTGACCTGCTGGCCATGCTCCTTTGGATGTAACCCAGGCTTTGTGGGCTTCAAGTGTACATTGCTGGGTCAAGTCAAGCTTCTTGTCCATGAACATCCACAAGTCTTTCTCCTCTGGAGCGATCTCAATCCATTCTACACATTCTACACTGTATTTGTGTTTGCCCCTACCAAGTTGTAGGACTTTGTACTTGGTGCTGTTCATGAGGTTTGCACCAGCTCATTTCTTAAGCCTGTCAAGTTTCCTCTGCATGGCTCCCCTTCCCTCCAGCATGATGACCACACCACACAGCTTGGTGTCATCAGGAAACTTGCTGGAGGTCACTCAGTCCCACTGCCCATGTCTTCCACATGGGAAGGGAAGGCTTCTCTGCCTCTCTGTGTTCTTAGACAAGGCCAGGTGGCCTGATAGTGCCTTGTCTCCTTAGGCTTTGTGAGCCCTTGGACCATGAACTGGATGGTGTGACTTGCTCAGGGGACCTGGGAGCACTTCTGCACTATATATAGTGTCAGTTATGAGTCAAAAGGGAAATATGGAGCCAGCTGACAAAATCCGACACAGATTCTTTGATCCTTGTGATGGTGTCCTGGAAGCTTATGTATGGTGTGTAGCTGTCTGGCTTGGGCCCTTGCCAAACTTAAGCCATTGAAGAAAATTTTAAATCAGTGAAAAGTAACTGGTTATTACTATGAAACTGAGTGTGCATACCTAATTTTTTTAAATCACTAAAGAGAAGAAATTTCCAGGACACTATTGAAACTCCTGTTATAATAATAATTATTATTATTCTTCCATTCTCCTTTCCTATTTTTTGGCACAGGTCATTTGGATTTCCATAGCATCTGGCATGCAGTTTTCAGTGAAGTAAGAACTATAAAGGGCCTTATTTCCCTTAGGAACTCACATACAAATTAAACCTGTACTGAAACACCTGATCTGAGCCAGATGAAACCAAAGCTTCGAGTCCGTTCACCTTAACTTTGAATGGCTTTAATTCTCAGGGAGTGGATCAATTTGAAGGCTTCAGACGCCAGCTGTGGCTCTTTAGAAGTTGTAAAAGGTGAAGAAAAAAATATGATTTATGATTGTTGAACAAACCAGAAACCTACTTGGAGTTTGCCAGCTGTCATCCATTTCTGAAGTTGTTTTCAAAGCACTGGTACATCGACCACTCTCTTTGCTCTTTTTTAAGAGCTGTGTGTTTATCCTTACTATTGTCACAAACAATAGTATGTTGCGATCATCATGTTCCTTAGGATGTATTGCTCCTTTAAGTTCTCATTCTTGGTGTTGCAGACAACTGGCAGCAGGAATATTTATAGATGCTGCTAGGCAAGAAGTTATGGTTTATCTAGTAGCACTCAGCATTCTTCTTTAAGTAGGGTTCATAATTTCTCACAAATCTGAGGTTTTGCACTTTGAACTGTAACTCTAGTGGATAAAGGCTGCATAACTCTTTGGAGAAATAAACCTCGGCAGATTTATTTTGGCTAGCAACTGTTCCACAGTCACCTCTAATCACACCTGGACACCATTTCATCCTGAATAGCAGATGTGTCCATTACATTGTGCCACAGTTATAATCCAGTACTGGTGCAGAGTGACCTGCTGTACTGAGATCCAGGTTCATCTCATCAGAGAGACAAAAATCAACTACTTTGGATGAGTTGCTTAGGGCAGGGTTGACCAAGCAAATTGTATTTTGCTGAGATGAAAAAGCCTGCACACTACTATTTCGGGCTGCCACAAAGTTTTGCAGCTGCTCTTCCAATGTGCAGGTAGGAAAGATTCACGTGATGTCTTGTAGGTAACTTTGGAAAGCTTTAAGAGGACTGATGCTTGAAACACATTCACACTGCATTTTCTGAGTATTGTCCCCTTCGAAAGGGCAACATAAGCAGAAATGTTGTCATAACATGGAACAGTTAATAATGAAGCTGTATTTTAATTTGATATTAGAAGGTAACAGGAAGAAAAATTAATGAGAGGGCTTAAGAAATAAGATGGATAGTTTATTCTGTGGCTAGCAAAGCACATTGTAATGTAGTCCTGTTTAGGGGCACTGCAGCAGACTGACTTCAGCACACACTGAACATAAGCCACACTGGAAATAGACCCTTGGTTGTGTCAGCCATGCTCTGTATGAAAGTGCGTCACAGCACTGTGGTTTTGAATTGCTTTTAAGAAATGGTTAGAGTAGAAGTTTG